CTCATTATTCATAATTTTTATGTTCTGTATCTTCCAAACTAGTTACTATTAGAAGAGTATATTTTAGAATACATGTTTTTTTTTTTTTTTTTTTTTACTGAATCTACTCTAGCATTCATTCCAGGACAAAGTGAAAAATATGTAGTTTTCGTAGTTTGTAAGAATATACAGTAATACCTTTTTCTAGTGGCCACAACATAATTTGCAAGTAAAATTCGTTAGAGTAGTGCCTTTCTCTTTTGTTAGAACCCAAACATGGCTTTTCAAATAAGGAAATGAAAACACTTAGAATAGCAAATTAAGTAAAATTATACCCAAGACAAGATGTCGTAGTCTTAATGTACTTGAGATCACAGGAAGTGTTCATTAATCTCATTATTGTAGAGCAGAATCTATAACTAGCTATAATTAAATTTTTTCCTCAAACTGTCAGTTGTCCCTTATCACAAGATTCATGTTTTCATTCTGACTGAAATGAAAGACTTGTTTTTTGTTTCCAGAAGTTTAGAATAACTTCTGATCCTATGCATAATGAGTGGTTCTTAACCTTCAGCCATTGAACAAAGATCAAAACAAAAGGTCATGGAGGAAAGCAGCAGGGAATTATTTGACAAAATTCCAGTCCCCATATCACTTGAGTGCCAGAAGCAATTGTATCTTTATTGTCCTAACTGAAAACCTCTCCACACCCTATAATGTCAGTGGGAATTTTACCATTTGCAGTAGTTGGATCAATATTGAGTGTCCTACACTAATGAGAGCAGTATGGAGATCTAAGGATAAGACAGATTATCACTAGAAAAATATTAATTATGTTGCTAGAAAAATATGATTATAGTCATTCTATCCCTATTGCAGGCATTCTGGCTCCACATAATTCACTATTATTTTGCTTTATTAAAAAAGTCTACAGAATATTTGTCAAAATAATCATTCAAGGTTTGAGTCTGTTACTCTTACTTGTGTAAAACATATCCCTGCTTATTCAAGAGGCATGCTGCTCAGTGTGAACAAGGATTGTGGAAGTGGGCCCTATATTTTTTCAAGTATTCTAAAATTTTAAACTAATCTTTGATGTTTTCTTAAGTGTTAAATTGCAACAAACTATCTTTGAGGTCCAGATAGCTTATTAAAAACTGGTAAACTTGTCTCCAGTTGTTAACTTACATTCCATTTGGCAAACTAGTGTTAAGAATTGTAGTGAACCTGTCTTTGCTTTGCTGCGTGTGCATCAGATCATATCCGGAGTAGCTCTGGGTATATTGTTCACCACAGACAGAGACTGCTCCATAGGATGCTGGACCAGCCTCTGTCCGCAGGGAACTCGACCCCCAGCAGACAGGGGCTGCTTCTGCGGAGTCAGTGCTTATTTGTCAATAATCATACTAGGGATCTAAGACTGTAACTATTTGAATGGTTAACGGTTTTAGTTTTTCGTATTATACACGCTGATTTCCCAGCCCTGTTCCTGGGGAGCCCGCTGCACTGTGGGCTCTGCAGTATAAGCTTGCAGCATGTAACTTTGTAACCACTAAGATTTTTTAACGGTTATTAACTGTTTTTTAACACCCCTGAAGCATACTGAAATTATACAACTGTACCGTGGATATTTAAATCAGCTGCAATAGTCCTGTGCTGATTGGCTCATTTATTGAATACCAAGCTTTTTGCCTGCTTCAAAGATGGTCTATACTTCTGTTTCTTTTTTTGTGAATGAACAAGGGGGAAAAAAAACCACTAAAATTGCAGGTTGTCAAATCACTGAAAGGGAGATTTTTGCAATCTAATCTGTCTGGCCTAGTTCAGCACCTACTGAAATCAGAGAGAGTAAGATTTGGTCTCCTTTCTTTTATCACATTCTCTTGCAACCCCTTAAATTCCCTTGTCTTCCTTTGCCATCCTACAAGTCAGGAAGGTTTGTCTCCACAAGAACTATCAGAAAAGTTTGTCTCTGATTGCTTATATTGGAAGACTGCCCTTCTGGTTTGTGCTTGTAAACAAATAAGTATTAAAGAGAAGAACCTTACTGAGCTGATGGGAGAAAAGAACAGTGGGAAATGAAAATTAAAGCGATGGAGGTGAAAGGGGAAATAAGATGTGTATAATGGCTTCTGGATAATCATATTTTGCATCAGTAAACTCAAAAATGAAGTTTAGCAGCATAGGGTATGGTTATTAACTTGTAAACAGGAAGTGCCTTAATTTTCTCTGTTATAATGGTCAAAAGAAAGAATCTGGAATTCTCTTCTAATGCCAGTTACAGATGTCACCTAATTATTGTTAAAAGGCAGTGTACGTGTACACAGTCAAGGCTGTTTTTATCATTAAAAATAAATCACATTGTTTATAATAATTCATTTGAAAACTTGAAATTAAGATGTTTCCTTACCAAAGTTAACTTCCTCCTTCCGGCTTCATGTAGTAGGTTTGATAATGAATGCTGATTAATGGCACTGGGCTCTTTTTGTATTTAAAAAATACAAACTTTTCAAATGGATCTAAAGATCTAAATCAGTGACACTCAGACTGGGGCTCATTCACTGCCATAAGTGGTCTTTTAATTGTAGCCTATATGGCTAGCTTGCTTGCTTGCCTATTGATATTTAAATTTATTTCCTTATGGTTTTGATTATATCCTTATTATAATAAGTTATGGAAGGTTTGTGTTGGTAGTATGGCCATGGTTGAGCTAAGGCAAAGTTAGTATTTTTCTCTGGGACCTTTCACCTAAATAGCAGTTAGCTCGCATATGATTGGGACCTTTCACCCTCCTAGATAGCTGTTGGTAAGATAGTGACCTTTCCAAGAATACCCTCACTTTGCATGTACAACATTACTTAGAAAATCCAAAATAATTAGCTGAGACCAGACTGGATAACTGGATAGGATAGAAATAATAAAAGGTGCATGGTAACAAATTGATGTATATGATAAGAAGTTGAGTATAATAACCTACTGGAAAAAGACACTTCACCATTAGTAGAGTGAGGAAATACAAATAAGAAGAAATAATAACATACCCTACTGAATATGCATCAAACATAATGACAAGTGGCATCCCACCCTAGGGGCAGTAGGAAAAGGAAATGTAGTCCTTGGGAGGTACTAGAATCATGGCCACTGATGATGATGGGAAAAGTGCAGGTGAGGGGGAAGATGATTGCTAACACCTCAGGTTGTCCTAGAAGGAATGATGTGAGTATATGGTGTGGAAATACAGATGTACATTTCCTATTTATTTTATGAAATTGGTTGTTTGTGACTGTACTAAATGTATTAATAAACTAGATTTACAAATATTCAGGAGCTCCTATAGTGTGCATTTTGCATCTGTGCAAAACAGGGTTCCCAAGTATAGAATAATTGAATACTGGGCCAGATCATGGGACAAAGGACCTGTCAACCCTAAAGGTGGTAACTGGAAATTCATAAGCAATCTTAGATCAGACAACATAATATGTTTCCTGGGACTCTTTAAATTACAGTGTTTTAATATGGTGTATTGTAATTATTAACAAATCAGGATGTTTTTGCTATGTTGTTAATCAACTGTAGTTGATATAATACATGGTCAGTCATTTTGATGTAAGAATAATATATAACAAGTATTTTCCATCATATGATTGAAATAGGAATATATAGCACAATAGTACATGAAACAACAAATTCATGCTACAGTGTCTGTGTTGGCTGATGTTGATTGCTAATTTGGCTCCTGAACCACTGAGGTCTGAGTATCAGCGATTTATGGTTCTACGGTGCCTCGAAAGTGAAGACAAGAAGCTTATGTTCAGTGTAACAGAACAGAAGGAGTTAATGGAGGGATGAAAGGAATGGTGAAAGCAACAAGCTAAGAAAATGGTCTGTGCAGCAGCAATTTCAATGTATGTGAGTGAAACAGGATTGCATTTGTCAAGGCGAGGGAAAAGGACGTTGCAATAATTGAGGCAATGGCTCTGGATGAATGATTTAGTAGCGTTGGAAGGTGGACAGATAGGTTGTATCTTAGGCATGTTATGCCCAATGAATTATGAACAAACATAGCAGTTGGAGTCCAAAATGATATCCATATTATGGGCCTGAGAGACTGGTAGGATGGTAATAGTGTGCATAGTGGCTAAGAAGGAAGGGGGCATTTTTGAGAGAAAATTTAAGTGATCTCTTTTAGCCATGTTGAGCTTAAGCTAACATATCCACAAGGAGTTTTTAGTTTTGACCGTGTGTTTTGCATTTCAATAGTTGGTATCATTTGCTTATGAATCACTTTTGTTTTTTATTATAGCACCTGGAGGCTCCAGCCAAGGAGGGCCCTGTCATGCTAGGCACTGAACAAACTAGTCCCTTCCTCAAGTTAAGTTCTTTGAGGCAGGGACTCGAGTCCAAACAGACAAGAAAGGGAAATAGAATGAAGGGAAACATAATTAACCCAGTTTCACAAACAAGGAAGTGGATTTTCCACGGTCATGTAGGAAGAGGAACCTTGATTGCATGTTTTTTTGTGAAAAAGAAATGAACTTTTGGCCATGTGCATTATTTACTGATGTGATTATCTCATTTAATTCATTGGAACTAAACTCATGCATGTTTCCAGGATCAAACTATTAGTATGAACTTGACATAAAAACTGGGTCTGTTCTAGAAAGCATTTTGTGTTTTCAGATGCTGGATCTCCCATTTTAAATATCAAAGATTTGCCAAATCAAAGCAAAGAAACTGAAGGAAACTCTTTTTTGTGCTTGTGTGTATTTTCCAAATGACAATGAGACTTGAAACATAGCAAAACCTCATTTCTATCAAGCGGATATAATAATATGAAGTATGTAACACTCTCCATGAGTTAGTTCTTGACAGCTAAAGAACATACCCATTAGAAAATATTTTTTCCGTTATTTGACATGGATGAAAGCTAGCACATCTAATTGTATAGGGTGGAGGGGAATGTCTATTAATTGACCTTTCTTAGTATTAAAACTGAAAGAAAACCTTTGTTTCTTTTCTAGATGAATGTCTGTAGATTACGCTTAACGGTACCACCAGATGAAGGCTCTCTTCCTGAACAAGGAGCAAATAAACTGGAAAGAACAAAAAAAGTAAGTGAATTGGATGTGGGCTGGCATTTATCAATATATGATTGGTATGGTAACCAATATAATGTGTGTTTCATGCCTTCGACAGAAGTTGATGGGAATTTCAACATCTTAGCAAACTTAAGAAAAGATAATTTGTCAGTTCGCATGAAAGTCATACTGTATTCAAAATTGAGGTGTGGGTGAGCTCCCAAGTTGGTGGCAGCAACATTGTATAAGGATGAGAACCGCTTTGCAGCACAGGTTGTAGGTCAAGGATGGGCAAAATTTTTTGGCCCAAGATCCACATCTTGGTATCAAAATTCTGTGGAGGACCATTCATGCTCACAAAGTTGGGGAGCAGGGAGAATATGAGCTCTGGGTTGAGGCCAGAAATGAGGTGTTCACAGTGCTGGAGCGGGTTCCTGGGTAGGACTGAGGGGTTTGGAGGAGAGGAGGGAGCTCTTAGCTGGGATAGTTGGTTGCATGGGGGCAGGGAGGGTTAGGGGTCCTGCTGTGGATTAGGGTTACCAGATACTTTCACAAAAAATACCGAACATGGCAGGAAAAAAATTGGTTGAAGGGGGGGGGGGGAAAAAAGTGTCACTGTGCCTTTAAATCCCCAGACATGGCAGGGGAAGAATGTCCCAAGCGGCCTTCCATCTGAGAAACAGAAAATACCAGACATTTTACATGTCCCATATTTTCTGGTTTTTTTTTTTTTTTTTTTACTGGACAGAGGCCACAAATACCGGACTGTCCGGGCCAATACCGGGCACCTGGCAAGCCTATTGGGGATTCAGGCTCTGGGGTCAGACTGGGGATGAGAGATTTGGGGTGCAGGATAGAAATACAGGCTTGGATAGATGGGTTCAGAGGATGGGAGGAGGAATTATGGCGTGGGTAGGGTAAGAGAGTTGGAGGAGAGTGATGCTTTGGTGATGGGTGCAGATTTTGGGGTAGAGCTGAAAATGAAGATTTTGGGGTGAAACTGGGTGTATAGGGCTGGAATCAAAGGGTTTGGAGGGCCGTAAGGGAATTGGGGCTCAAAAAGAGTATTGGGAGGGGGGGTGGTACTCAAGGAGGCAGGCTTCAGGGGGCATTTACCTGAAACTGCTTCTAGAAGTAGCAGCCTGTTCCTCCTCTGGTGTCCATGTGGAGGCCATCCACTGATACCATCCCCACAGCTCCCATTGGCTGTGAACCATGGCCAATGGGAGCTGGAGAGCTAGTGCTTGGGGGGGGGGGCAGGGGCAGCATGATAAGCCCCCTGGCTACCTCTGCTTTGGGGAGCTGTGTGGAGTGGGGCAAGGCAAGACTTTGTACCTGCTCTCTGGTGGAGCACTGAAGTGGGACAAACTTCCTACCTACCTCCCCAGTGGGAGCTCGAGAGCCTTATTTGAAAGGTCAGATCGACCAGATGTGGCCCACGGGCCGTAGTTTGCCCACCACTACAGACAAAAATAAAGTGAAGTGTAAGTTGTTAACTATACTATATAGTCCGTACTGATGGGAAAATACAAAAGAAGGCAATCAAGGTTTTTCTGAAAAGAATGATGTAAGAGAGGCGAATTCCAGTTCTCTTGTCACTGAAACAATGGCAAAACTTGAAGTTCGGAGGTGCAAGACCAAACGTTCAGGGCCAGATTCTTAGTTATTTAGGCACCTAAATATCTTTTTAAAAGCACTTGAGGCCATATTTTTAGCACTGTAAAATAATTTTTATCCTGTCTTAATCCTTATCCTGTCGTCTTTAAAAAATAAAGATGTGCATCTTCTATAATTTGACCATATGAGCACTTTAATAAATTAAAGTGAAACAAAATTGAGATGAAGCACTAGTATCACCTGAAAACACATCTATTTATAGTATCTCGAGTAACTGTAAACTGATCCAGAAAGAAACAAATGTTTTCCCTATTTTCAGTTTTGTTCAGAGCTGTCAAAATATAAGGTATTTATCAAATCTCTCAAAGATACAGACCTGGATATATATATGTTTTAATATTAAGGCTGTTTGACATCACTCTGGTGCTGGTAGAAGGGTCTTAAGTGTCTGTAAATAAAATTAGGATCAGACCCATATTTAAACTGAAGTTGTAGCATGTGTATTACCTTTTGCCACTTTAAATCCTCTCCCCTTTATAACCGATAGCTGAAATTCCTTGGGTAACTAATTAATGCAATGGATGTAGGATCCACCCACAGTAAGAGTAGTCTTAGTTTGTTTTTGAGGAGGATACATATTTACTGTACTGTGCAGGAAACAATACTGAAAGAAGTGTCAGAGGCCCATGAATGATTAGAGCTTAAATGGTTTTTATCTCTAACTTTACTATAGTGAGCCTTTTTCACTGTGGAGCCTTGAATTTAAAGGAATTAAATCAGATTTCCCTTCCCCAACTACTATTCAAATAGCAAATTTAACACAAGTTAAGGCTGGCAGTTTTACATCAGAGATTGCATTTTAAAGAGGAGCAGCTGTATTAATCCTCTGTTGGGTCTAGAATGCAAAGTGGTAAATGTATGTATTCTTAAGAGATTGGATTCTTTCTACGCATTGTTTAATGATTCATATTAGTTAAATTCAGAATTATCCACTAATTGAATGATCTTATTGAATTGAGTTATGATACTTTTGGAAAACTATCAAGACTAAGTAACTTGTCAATAATTATTATTTTGTATATACTCTTGAATATCAACATTCAGACAGTATGATCCTCTTTGAGATATGTAGTTGATATTGCAATTAAATATTAAAAAACACATGGAGCATTTTACTATTCATGCCATCGGATGTATATCCCCATATAGACAAACAAGTACAGAAAAGTTATTGACTGTGAATTTGTAGTCATCTAATACATTACATTACAAACTTCCTTTAAACTAAGGCATTTCTGTTGGATTTTATTGTCACTGTAATGTATTGCTTGCATAAACTCTACCTGGCTGCATATTAACTGGGAATGCACATAGGACTCTATTTATTTACTCTTTTTATTTGCAGAATGATACAATACTTGAAATACTGTGATCAGATATCTGAGTTGATACACCCACATTTGACTGACTCTGTTAATAAAATTACCTTTATTCTTCAAGTGTCTTACAAACATTAACTAATCCTCAGAGCATCCTAGTGAGACAGAGAACTATGTCATCTTATAGATGGGAGTAATAGGGACAGGAGTTGGGGGACTGCTCAGTTGGCAGGCTTGCATTTAACAATTAAAGTATGCAGATACAGCTATGCAGTGCCAAGACCCGACAGGAACAGCATGACAGTAACTGGACAGCAAAGCTGTATGATCACAGTGTTGTATTGTCTTCAAATCTGGATATTTTGAGGAGAAAACATTCAGAAAAATACTAGTGTTGAATATGAAAGTAAGGCCTTGTCTATGCTACAGAATTTTGTCAGCAAAAGGCAGCTTTTTCTCAACAAAAAGGATGAGGTGTACGCACTACAATGCCATGTTTGCTGACAAAATTATTTTGTTTTGGCTACAAAATAAAACCACATTGGGAGACATAGAACTTTTTGCAGCAAAGTTTTTATAGATAAAGTGTCAGTGTAGGCAGCATGCTTAGTTTTGTTACTTTATTTGTCCTCTGGGAAGTCCCACAGTGCCAATCCTGACCACTCTAGTCAGCAGTTTGAATTCTGCTGCCTTGCAGCTAGGTAAACAAGCATCCACACCTCCACCTTTAGAGGTCTGGGAATTTTTGAAATTCTACTTCCTCTTTATACTGGGTGGAGAGCTCACATCACATCTCCCCACTTGACCATGGCATTGGATCTGCTGAGTGTGTATGGGCAGCGGAAGCTGTCCAATTCCAGTTCTGCTGCAGCTGAACAAACTTGGATACTTATGGGCAGACTTCTCATGGTTATGTGGTATGGACTGTGATCAGGACACTTTGCCTTCTGGCACACCTACCTCATCTCCTTTATCTTTGCTCAGCACTGCAAAGGAGGCAAACCATTGCTCTGGTGTTGCACTGAAAACCTACCACTTCTATAAGGAGCTGGATGCCATCCTTGGTGGGGACCTCACCTCCATTTCCAAGAGACCATTGGATACTTGGACAGGGCCGGAGGCACTTGACAGTGGACATAACACCGAGGGCAAAGTCATGAACCAGGACACGGAGTTGGAAGTCAATGTGGAGCCCATGTCAGGGTTCTTTGGTGATGTGGCAAGTCAGAAACTCTTCTGAGCTCTATAAGTGTTTAACCAGTCCCAGAAGTCTGTCTCCAGCGAGCAATATGCTCCAGAGAAGACCTCTGGTAAGTGTTGTTTTTGAGCTGATGCTGCTTGGTTATTTGACATATGGATGTCCTTTGTTCTGTATTCAGTAGAAATGGGTTAAGAGATAGAAATGTGCAAGACTAGCTCCATTTGAGTGTGCTTCACATTTCTCTGTGCAGCTAAGCACTATGATGGAACAGAGTTGATGCACACCAAGATTTCACAGGAATCCTCCGGAGAGATCTTCAGGAAACTTTCCTGGAGGTACTTGCCAATCATCTGTTGGAGGCTCCTTATTTTGTTCCTTCTCCTGTGGTGGAAAAATTTTCCATGCCAATTGGTAATCATTGGTGCAGGGACCAAAATAGTGCGCAGGAAAACAGCCAGGTCTGAATCTGCATATGTGCTGTAGATGTACCGTTGCATCTTTGCTTACCCTCAGGAGTGACATATTGACTTCAGTGGCTCCACCTGTGCAAAAATGGCAGCAGAATGTACAATACTGTCCCTACTCACCTATAGTGATCTCCTTAAAACAACCTTAGCCATACAGAGCTTTGAGAGAGGAGAAAGGGGACTTCTGAAATCAAGGTGTTGCCTGCCCTTGTAGTCCATCTGTTAACCCACCCCTCATATGCTTGTCATGGGCCTCCCCTCAGGGTGCCCTGCCAAGGGGCGAGCCCCACTCTCTGGGGTCAGTTCCTTGTTTTTTCTCTGCCCCTCCCACAGGACACAGGGCAACCAATGTTTCAAATGTGAGG